GAAAGGACATTTATGGGGTGGGTGGAGGCACTCGACTGTGGACTGGGTATCACGTGCTATTGAGAAATTGTTGACTCTTTAGAGTGTGACAGTGTATTGTGGTTAGTAAAGAAACTGTGTTTAGGAGGAAATGTCAACATCTTTGGGATTTATTTTAAAATATTTTGGGGATGCCTGGGTGGTTCAGTTGGTTAAGTGTCTGCCTTCGGCTCAGGTCATAATCCCAGGGTCCTGGGATCGAGTCCCGTGTTGGACTGTCTGCTCAGCAGGGAGCTTGCTTGTCCTCTCCCTCTGCCTGCAGTTCCCCCAGCTTGTGCTTTCTCGCTCTCTCTCTGCATCAAATAAATAGATAAAATCTTTTAAAAATATATTTTTAAAAAAGAGATGAGGTAAAAATGACAAATATTATTTATTATTAAAATTTGAGATCTATGGGCTTACTGTTTTCTATACTTCCATGAATGTTTATAAATATTGCATAATAAAACATTAAAAAAAAACAAGGAAAAAGGGGTGCCTGGGTGGCTCAGTCCATTAAGCGTCTGACTCTTGATTTTAGGCTCTGGTCATGATCTCAGGGTTGTGGGATGGAGCCCCATGTTGGGCTCTGTGTTCAGCTTGGAGTCTGCTTGAGATTCTCTTTCTAGCCTTCTGCCCCTACCCCCACTCGCGGGTTCTCTTTCTCTCTCTCTAAAATAATAAATCAATCAATCTTTAAAATAAACAAACAAATAAAAAACAAGGAAAAAGGATAATCATTAAAAGGAGAATTATTGTCTGTATTTTCAAACTAGCAGAGAAAAAAGTTTGTAGTGAAAAATATAAGAAATTCTATCAATCCAACTAGAAAAAGAAAGGAAGAAAAAGAATTTGAGAGAAATGAATGAAGAAAACAGAAAACACAAGTATTTTGGTAAAAACACTTCCAAATCTATTTAGACCACAAAACACGTAAATGGTTAAGCCCACCTATTATAATACAAAGATTATCATACTAGATCTTTTTAATCCAGCTATTTGCTGCTTATAAGAGAATTGATCTAAATGTACAGACACACAAAGTACGCAAGGAAAGATAGAGAAAATGTTTGGTGCAGTGATATTAATAACAAGATAGAATTTATGACAAAGGCATATTAACAGCAATATTGAGAGGAACTCTTAAGATATTATAAGGAAAATTCCACCCCAAACATAACATTCTCATCTGGGTTACATCTAACAACCTAGCTTCGAAGCATGTAAAAAAATGACAAAAATATGGGAAGAAACTAAAGCTTTTTGACATCTTTCCGAAAGAAGTGAAAATAATTGTACCAGGAAATAATAAGGATATGGAAAAACCAAACTAAAGTTATATGATTAAGCTTTAGTTGTATGTAACATATAAATTATATACATCATTATAATATACAAGTTACATATACTATATATAAAGTTATAGAGTTCCATGTGTACATCTTTGTATATAGATAGATCTTACATATCAAACATATAGGGGAAACACTTATATATGAAGCATTTATAGAGTTGATATAGCTTGTAAAGAAATTCTATTTTGAAATATAGGTATCTTAGTGACTACTTTCTCTGAACATAATGATTTTAGGTGGATGAAGGGGATGGGTTGGGAAGAGATTATTTAAAGGAGAGAAATGCATCAAATTAACTGTTATCTCCATGATTATTGTACTTTACCCAACATGGGAGTTGATTAGTCCAAAGATATGACACATGGAAGGCGATCTAGTGTAGCCAAAGAATAAAACACTTACGTTTTTATAAGAAAAAATATGCATGCAGTTGAGGGATATCACTGGTTAAATTGACCCAAACCAGAGGTTTGTGTGGTCAGCCCATGTGCCTTAGGCAAACTTGGTGCTTTGTTCCCTGAGGTTTCAATCCCTGTTTGAGGGGATGAGAATCTCCTATCTTGGTCTCAGAGGAGCAGTGTCTCATCCCACACTCTGAGAATATCTGACTCTTTTGCTAAGGGATTTAGTTATAAGTCTGATCATTTTCCACTTCTAAAATAAAAAGAACTGTGTCTTATGAAATATAGTAAATGTCCAACACGAGGAAACACCATACATCCTAAACAAGACTCTGTTATCTACACGTGCAAAGCGTTCTTCTGTTTTTTGCCAAAAACCATACAACAATGATAATTTTTGGACATGTGAAACCTAGGGGATTCAGCATTTGCTACTGGGATCCCAGAAAGCAAAAAGTAAAGGTTGAGTGGTATCCCCTGGAGATGTACCACATGAGACCCTGGAAGTAATTTTCAGTTCAGAGCAATAATAAAAGTAACAAAAGCATTAAATAATAATAATTAATATTTGATAAATATTATAGGCATGGAATTATCAGCTTAGCCTGGCTCCTTTGGATCTGGCCTCCACACAGACGACAGACCCTCCCTCCTGGGCTGCTTCTCCTTCTGCTGCCTTGGACGGATATGGGAACTGCCTGTCATTGTCACCAACGTTCTTCTCTCTGTTGCCTCTGCTCTTATAGGCATCGATCCACCTGTAAGATTAGTTGGTCCACAGGTCAAGAACAAAGCTTGGCTAGTTGACAGCCTGTCGACAGAACCCTGTGCTGAAGGCTGTGGTGTTAAGGATGAGGGAAACTTCTTCCTGCTGTGTGTGTGCCCTTTAATCCCATAGGAGGTGGGGGGCAAGCAGGAAACCAGAGAGAAGCAGAAAGACAGAAAGCAAGTCACGTCCAAACAAGGGCCCACGTTGGTCCTGACACCATTGGTAGCAATATCAGTGTGAGGAATCTTTCTTGAAGATTCCAGTAATTTGGAGTAACGTTGAGAAGTAGGGGACAACAGGGACAGAAATAACCATCCCTGAGCTTTAATCCCAAGTGTTAGGACGTCCTCTGAAAAGAATCAATGGGCAGAGTTGAGAGAGAATGCACAAAAGGGTGTGTATTCTAATAGGTGTGTAACACAAATAGCACATTTGGGAAAGGTTAAAGGAAATAGAATAATCTAATGGCTGGGAATAGCGAGTGCACAGGGACAATTGCATCTCGTGCCAAGAAAACCAGCCAATTTGATGGATAATGACATTCTTGTTAAGAGCAGCTAATGAATGGCTAGACTTCAAGGTCTCCAGAAGCCACTCCACCGGTGTGACAGTCGCTAAGTGAATCCTCCGCACCTAACACAGGATCCAACATAGAATTGCCACTCAAATGTTTTTTAATGAATCAATCTTGAAATCTGGAGGAGCAAACCCTTTCAGGACTTCCTGTATAATAATTAGTGACCACATTTCCTCTGGAGCTTTTTCTGGGTTTCGAGACTGGTCTTAGAGGATGACAGTCTCGTGAAGCAGGCACAGATCACGGTGAAGAAGTCCCGGCTCCGGGAGCAGATGTAATTGTGTCCTAATCATTAACTCTGTGAACTCAGACTAGTTATTGAAATTCTGTGCTTTGCATTTCTCATTTGGGACAATCAGGGTTAATATTGCTTCCACAGGATTGTTGTGAGTATAAACGAGACAGGACATGTAAGGTACTCGTCCCAAGCTCAGATGTTATTAAAAAAATGTCAGCCCTTATAAATCTCAAAGGGCCCCGGGCTGGAGACGATCTTAGTGACCATCTAATGCAGCTGCTCCCAACTCTGATCCATCCTCAGAATGTTCGAGTCAGCTTTCCAGAAATGCAGGTGCATGCATGGGCTTCACTTTCAGATTTTCTAAGTTATAAGTTTGATGACCAATTGGTTTGGGGGAACCGCCGATCTGATCCAGCCAGAATTTTACAGATACAGAAACAGCACAACTTAGTGGCAAAACAGGTATAAAATCTGGTTTGAATGAGACTGTTTCTGTGATGCCACAGTCCCCTGGGTGAGGGCTGGAAGCTCATGAAGGACAGAGTCAGTGACTCCTACAGCTCATTGGAAACTGGTGGGTTTCATGAAACTTTTGGGGAAAGACGTTGGTATAATTTCATTTCTTTTTTTTATGATTTATTTACTTATTTGAGAGCAAGAGAGAGAGAGAGAACATCAGCTGGGGGAGGGCAGAGGGAAAGAATCTCAAGCAGACTCCCTGCTGAGCACAGAGCCTGACACTGGGGCTCAATCTGACGACCCTGAGATATGAGCTGAGCCAAAATCAAGAGTTGGACACTCAACTGACTGAGCCACCCAGGCTCCCGGGTATTCACTTCTTGAACAACAAATAGATCAAACAAAAGTACGTGTTTACTGGGGACAGGGGATGAAGTAGAGCCCTGAGGTCCAGACCAGCTCTGTCACTAAGCTCCTATGTGACCTCAGGCAAGTCAGTGAACTTCTCTGAGCGTCAGTTCCAACACGTAAATAATGGTGATTTCTGACCTAATTACTTTAGGATATTTTAAATTTAAAGAGGACTCATACACGTGAAGATATTTCAAATGGTAGATTGCTAAAAAAGTAGAGTGGACTATTTCCACTCTGCATTTGTATGTCACTCCTTTGGGTCTCAAATTCTACGTGCCTGGTGCATGTGATCAGGGCACGGAGGCTGACTTGAGTTTGTGGGTTAAATAAGCTAAAGATGGAGCCTGTCTTTCTTTAGCATCAGGAAGTTGTTTATTCATGTGGGGGGCTGAGCAGCAGGGGGATTCAGGAACGGAGAGAGGATTGGGGGCAAGCTGCCAGTAGCAAATGGTCAGAACTACAATGTCGTCTTTCACGTCCCGTCCGTCCTGCTGTCTGGCCTCACCTGCGTTTGGGATGTGGGGCCGCAGAGGACAAGGACAGGAGCCCATCTGGGGGTAGAGGAGGAAGCCAGCCTGAGCCGAGCAGCAGTTACTGCTTCGGAGACACAAACACGGCAGGGGCCTCGATGCAAACGGGCTAGGGCATTGCCACCCATGACCAGGACACGGCAGTTTTTTGTTCTTGTGTATAACAATAGAGCGAGGAGCATTATATTTCTACAACAGAAGCACGAACAGGTCAAGAAGTGATGACATGCTGAACTTCTGGGAGGTTTTTCAGAGTCCAGCTTCCAGTCTACCCTCCGACCCCACCGGCCCTCCTCCGACGGCAGAAAAGCCTTCCGATAGCATCTTTCATGTCCTTGTTTCTCAGGCTGTAGATAATGGGGTTGAGGAAGGGAGCGAGGATGACAAAGGCGACAGCAATTGTTGTGTCCCAAAACACAGAGTAGGCGGCTGAGAATCGCACATACGTGAGAGACACGCTGCCAAAAAACAGCAGGAACACAGCAAGGTGGGCAGCACAGGTGGAGAAGGCCGACGCATCCCCAGAATCACCAAGATGATCCGCACGTGGGACAGGGCGATGGCCAGGAAGGAGGCCAGGATCTCCGCTGCATGGATGGCGTCCACAATGACCACCAGCGATGTGTCTGTGCAGGCCAAGCTCAGCACAGGTGTGGAGTCACGGAAGACCTGCCGGATCTGGCTGGAGCCACAGAAAGGCAGGGTGGCAATCCACGCGATCTCAGGGAGCACAAGGAGGAAGCCCCGGAGGCAGGACCCGGCTGTTAGCTGGACACAAAGCTGGGGAGTCATGATGGTCAGGTAAAGGAGAGGACTGCAGATAGCGATGTACCTGTCAATGGCCGTTGCCGTCAGGACGCAGCCCTCTGTGATGCCCAGGGAGTGCAGGAAGTACATCTGCAGGAGACAGCCAGCCACAGAGATGGTCCTCTGCTCACTGACCAGGCTGGAGAGCATGAGGACAGGACACTGATGAAGAAGTACGTGGGCGTGTGCGGGGCCACGTCCAGCTGGACGGCAATGAATATCATCAGGTTCCCAGTTATGATAAATCCACAGATGAGAAGCAGGGGAATAAAGAACAAGAGCCCACCTTGATGCAGAGGTGGGAACACAGAGAAAAGGACCTCAGTCACCGTAGTCTGATTCCCACTGGTCACCATCTGTGTCATCTGTGAGGGGAAGAAAGGAGACAAACTCCCGGAATGGGGTGGAGACCATCCACTGAAAACCACTCCACTCCTTTCTGTGACCAGTTCCTTAAGCTGACTCTGGGACCCTAGTCAGGCCAGTTAGAAAGATCTCACAGCTCTACCTCCACGCCAGAAGCACCTGGAATACTTGCTTTTGGACCCCTCAGTGCATCTTTTATAAACATCTTCAACTGACGCGAAGGAGACACAAAGTGACACACAAATTAATTCTCTGGAAATATTTTCCGGAGGCTCAGTCACTTCTTTAACTTCTTGGTTATTCCCCTCACTCTCTGCCCTCTGTGTTTAGCTTTAAAATGTGTACTTTCTTTTTTTTTTTTTTTTAAGATTTTATTTACTTATGAGAGAGAGAGAGAGAGCATGCACGCGAGAGAGCATGAGTGGGAGAGAGGCAGAGTGAGAAGGAGAAGCAGGCTCCCTGCTGAGCAGGGAGCCCAACACGGGACTCGATCCCAGGACCCTGAGATCATGATCTGAGCTGAAGGTAGACACATAACCTACTGAGCCACCCAGGCGCCCCCAAAATGTGTACTTCTCTTTCTATTTTTCATTCCTGTTCTTCAGAGTGATTTAAAAAAAATACAGAAACGCTGTCCAGAGCCCTGGTCTCAATAATTCCTCACATTGCTGTCCCATCTTTTCTGGCCCTGATCCCTAACGTGAGGCTGGCTGAAGGGTCATCTTCACCTCTGCCTTGTTTCTGTTCATCTCATGGTGACATCTGTTTCTCGCTAGCTGCTAAGTGCCCAGATGTCAGGAAATATTCCTCTTCACATTCCTTCCCTTCTCCCTCCTCCTCCTCCTCCTCTCTCAGTGGTTCACATTGATAGCTGCTCAGGCCAAGAGTCTTTCTAGAACCACTTTGCTCCTATTGGTCACTGAACTTTGGACAAGCATATAACTCCACCCCCCACATACCAACCCTCCTGGGATGCATCTAAGAGCCATTGGATAAGAAAATCACTTCTAACCTAACTACGGCTGTCTCGGGAAGGAAGTGTCACAAAACCCAGCTGCAATAGAAATCAGACCAGCGTCTACTTGTTAGGGAGAAGGGCAACTAGACTTTTTGCGAGGCTAATTAAAGTTCGGGATATTAATGTACATTACCTCTCACCTTGACTATTTTAACATCTTTTTCACTGGTTTCCTTACCTCCAACAAGTCATTCTGCAGATGAGCATGGCTTTTACTGTCCCTGTTCTTTTCAAAATGATTCAAGGATAAGCCCCACGGATCTTAGCCTGATATTCATTGTCTTCTCTGATCTGGTTCCAATCAAATTTTAGAGCCAAATATTTTTCTACATATTCAACAGCTCAGCCAAATAGGATGATTTCCTGTGTTTCTATTTTTGCTTATGTCCTTCCTTCCTTTCGTTTTCTCTCTGTCTTCCTCTTGGAATCCTAGTTGCCGGTGTCCAGCAAACCCTCTTATATCATCCTGCTGCTCTCACTGATCTGCACGGCTGGAAGCGAGCCCTCTCTCCTCTGACCCGCAAGCGTGCTGGGGATTCTCTGCTTCCATGACTTTGAACACACACATCCTACACTCTAAATATTTGTGTATCAGCGTTGTCCAACCCCCCAAGTGGACTGAAAGCTCCATAGAGGAATCATAAGGGATAAATGAAGTAGTGTTTGTGAAGAGCTCCCAGGTGACGGTCATGATGCTAGACTTTACATATTTTATCTCATTTATTTCTACCTATGACAGAGAGATTATTATTATTGTTCTATAAGTGCAAAAGTTGAGAACCAGAGGGGAGAAATAACTTGTTCAAATCCATATTTCTGGGATCCAAAACAATAACGGGAAGCCTGGTCTTTGGCTTTAAAATTCCACTATTATTATTATTATTTATTTATTTATTTAAATTCCACTATTATTTTTTGTACCAAGGTGGGAAATTTAGGTCAGGAGTCACCAGTCATCCTGTCTGCTTCCTACTCTGGGCACCACTTTATCCTCAGGTGTGTGTTCCCGAAGTGTGAAATGAGAGAGCAGAGGTGTTTTATGTTTGGTTTGTTTTTTTGCAGGTCACAAGCAGATTAAAATAAATGCACTGCAGATTAGGAAAATGAATTCCTATAAAATGCTTCTTACCTTAAGCCTCAAGCCTGGAGGAAGGCTTTGGAAGGGAGGAAACATCAGTGTTGGGCAGAAGAGCAGAGCCTGTGTGGGGACAGGTGAGAGATGGGAGGGATTTGGGGCCGAAGCAGCCATGTCTCTGTCCTTTCTCCGCCTGAAGCACAGACAATGGCCATGCTGAGTGGTCCTTATGGACAATGTGGCTGGACAAAGCAGGAGGTGATGGGGTTCTAAGAAAAGGCAAGCAAGTTCAGCACAGATTGGCTCGTAAAAGGCAATAGAGTGTCTACTTTGCCCTCGGTGAGGCCTTTCTCACTGGGAAGACTGCATCATTGTTCATCATTTGTACATTTATTCAGTTAACATTTACATATTGATCTACCCTCTCTATTTGCCAATCACTGCTATAGGTTCAAGGGCTACGTGAAGGTGTATTAAATAGTATTCTTGTATTCTTGCTCCTGAAACATGTGAAGAACACTTTTAAGATTCCTAGAATGACAGATAATCAGCCGTGCCCAAGGAGCTCACCTTACAAATATTTGTTGTATGGTAAAAAGAGACTCAAATTAGATTTTAGTCCTGGGGGGGGAAAGGCAGTAAATTTCTCTGTGACTCTCCAGGAATCCGTAATTCAAATTCACAAAATTTTAGTGTTGGGAAGACCTTAGATGTTATGAGTATCTTCACCTGTTAGCTGCACTATGTTTGTTCTAACGGCTTTTCTAGATTTCATGTCTCATGAAAGACCTGCAAAAAAACAAACCAAACATAAAACACTTTAATTTTTTCACCATGCAATCAAGTTCTAAAAATATGAAATTTTAGCCCATGCATTGAGGAAACCTTACCCGGAAAGTGAGGGCAAGTCTGGGTCCAGAGGAGTGAAGGATACAAGGAGAGGGCAGGAGCTGGAGGAGGTGAGGCAGCTGAGCAGTTGGATGGTTTCCTGTCAACAGTCTTTCACACTTACCTTGCCTGAGACCACGGCGACATTCCTCAGGGTCTCTGCAGCTACCAGCCCCTCTGCCAGTTTGTCAACAAGGATACTGATGTCTGAGAAGGCTCTTTGGGGAATTTCTAGAGGGGAAAAATCCTTCCCTGGGACTTTCTCCTTTGCAGGATCTCAAGGAAAAGTGGTGCATTCCGCTCTCCTCTCTGAGGGATAAATTAAGGGAAAAGTCTCACATAGTAATTAAATATTCCCCGGGGTCAAGTCTCAAAAGATTCCCTGTGGCCAAATAGCTCTGTGTCTCCCAGGGGTGTAGAGCTGAGCACTGGGGCTGGAGTAGCTGCAGAGTAGACCCGTCAGGACCACGCTGTTCTGGCAACAGTAAAGAAACTCAGTAAACATTGCTTTGTTCTCAACCGTTCACTCAATTTCCACTGTGCTTTCCATTCCTTCTGCTGCTCTAAAAATAATGATGATGAGAATGATAAATCATTTGGAATATCAACAAAAACCAGGAACTATAAATGATGGGTTATAGATAAATATAGAACTTTGTAAAACTCTTGGAAGACACCGAACACCTAAATCAATGGGCTGATATGATGTATTAATGAATAGAATGTCTCAGTTACAGAAACAGGCCAAATCTACACAAATCTATCTATTACTTCAATGCAACTTCTATCACAATTCCATTTGGGTAGGGGGGAGTCGATTGTGTCAAGGTGAGGGACAGACAGATATTTTGAAGGAGAAGATTAAAATGGCAAGTCTTGTCCTATTGTACATCAAAGGTTATAAAAGAGCAGTGTAACAAGCTAATGGAAACCAAGAAATAGATGGACACATATAATATTTGACAGATGGCCGAACCGAAACATCAGAACCCGGGGCAGGGGCTGGGGAGGATGGGCAGAGCCGGCACAGAGGGTCTGTGGAGAAAGGGCTGATTGTTAATCATGGTCCTAGAGCCTCTGTTTAAGCATATGAGAAACATAAAATAAAATTTGTCCTGACCTCATTACATTCCCACAAGTCTACAGATAGAATGAAAGTTTAATATGAGAAGTCAACTTTAATACTTTATTTTTTTAAAAGATTTTATTTTTAAGTAATCTCTACACCCAACATGGGGCTCGAACTCATAACCCTGAGACCAAGAGTCCCATGCTCTACCGACTGAGCCAGCCAGGTGTCCCTTATTTTTTCCAAAAAATTTTATTTTTAAAAAACAATACTTTAAAATAAAATTTGGGAGAATATTTTTATCACTTCAAATAGAAAAAAAATCTTAAACAATTCAATAGAAATATAAATGATAAAGGAAAACACCATTAAATTCAGGTATATTAATATTTCCATTTACCAAAGGGTACCATAAAGAAAGTACAGAGACAAATTACACATTAGGAGTCTGTATTTATAAATTATATAACTGAAAACAAATATTACTCAGAATATATAAAGAGCTCCTACAAATTAAAAAGAAAAAGATTTTAAAAATCAGGTGAATATATATATATATACACACACACACAATATCATATATACTCACATACACATGGCACTCAGCCTCACTGATAAGCAGGGAAATGCAAATCTAAACAATAGTGCATTATTTATATACAACCAAACAGCAACAAATGTGACCACTCAAAATGTTAGAAAAGATGTGCAACAATAGAAACCCATGCTTTATTGATAGGATACAACCTTGAAAAACAATTTGGCAGTCTCTCGTAGAGCTGAAGATGCGAATGCTCTACAACAGAAAGTGTTCATGCCTAACGAATAATTTGTGTCGCATTAATACAAGATGAAAGTGATTTTCTTTTAAAGCTGCAGCTAGATGCATTGACATGAATGATTCTCAAGAATACGTTGAGTGAATGAGCAAGTTGTACAATAATACCTA